TTTTGGGTAGAAGCTCTAGCCACCGCAAATTACCTCATTAACAGAATGCCCAGCCACAACCTCTCCAACAAATCACCCTATCAACTCTTTTACCAAGAACTTCCCAATTATACCAACCTCCGCGTCTTTGGGTGTCTTGCCTACCCTTGGCTACGCCCTCATATTACTCACAAATTACAACCCCGATTCCGTCCTTGTATTTTTTTGGGCTATCATCGTACCTCCAAGGTTTATCGCTGTCTTGATCCACAAACTCATAAAGTCTACATATCTCGTCTTGTCAAATTTGTCGAAAATGAGTTTCCCTACGAGTCTATTTCCTCCTCCACAAATACATCATTCATTGGCGTCCTTCCCCTATTTCCAACATACTCACAGGGTCTCTCATCACCTTCCCCCACACCTCCACCCACTACCCAACCACTCCTCATCACCCCTTCGACCGTCACCCACAATACACCCGCAACCACCACCCACACTCACAACCAACCTGAACCACCCCATACCCACAACATCTCCAGCCCGATCCGTTTTGGGTCCTTCCCGGCCACCCCCCAATCACCACCGCCCGTGCCACCCCCCAATACTCATCCCATGTTAACCCGTGGCAAAGCTGGTATCTTTAAACCCAAAACCTTTCAGGCTACCATACTACCAAATACACCCCTTCCCGATAGTGAACCAACAACCTACTATGTTGACTCAAAAAATGCTTATTGGCGTCATGCTATGGATGACGAGTTTAAGGCTTTGATTGATCAGAAAACTTGGGTTCTTGTTCCTAAGCCCCATGGGCGGCACCCAGTGGGCTGTAAATGGGTGTACAAAATTAAACACAATGCAGATGGCAGTATTTCCCGGTACAAGGCTCGTTTGGTTGCTAAAGGCTACAATCAGGAGTATGGGCTTGATTACTCCGAGACATTCAGTCCCGTTATTCGGCAGGAAACCATTCGCCTGGTACTGTCACTCGCCGTGCGCAACAATTGGCTCATCAATCAGTTGGATGTTTCCAATGCTTTTCTTCATGGCATGCTTGATGAAACTATCTACATGACGCAACCACCGGGTTATGTTGATCCCCGCTTCCCTCAACATGTTTGCAAACTCCAGAAGTCTCTGTATGGGCTCAAGCAAGCCCCTCGTGCTTGGTACACACGTCTGAAAACGTTCCTCCAAGGACTCGGCTTCATGTGTTGCGTACACGACACGAGTCTGTTTACTCGACATTCAGCACACGGTACAGTCATTCTTCTTGTCTATGTAGATGATATCATTATTACAGGTTGTACTGCATCTCTCATTAAGGATGTCACTCGAGCTATGCATACTACCTTCAAAATGAAGGACCTTGGCCCGTTACATTATTTTCTAGGAATGGAGGTTTCTCGGACAAGCAGCGGCTTGTTTCTTCATCAGTCAAAATATGCTCGAGATCTGTTGCAGAAAGCTAGACTGGAAAAATGCACCAGTCAACCAACACCGATGGCAATATCTTCATCTACGAATGGAGCCGAAACCCCCTTTGCCGATACCACCCACTTCCGCAGCCTCATTGGGACTCTACAGTATCTAGCCATTACCCGTCCTGACATCCAGTTTGCTGTCAACCGAGTTGCTCAACGCATGCATCAACCAAGTGAACATGATTACCATTGTCTAAAACGCATTCTCAGGTACATTTTTGGCACTCTTGGTCGTGGTTTACTCATTCGACCCGGGGACTTGGAGCTTCGGGGGTTCTCAGATTCAGATTGGGCGAATGATAAAAATGACAGAAAATCTACATCGGGGTTTCTCATTTTTTTGGGACCGAACCTGATTTCCTGGTGTACAAAAAAACAACCCAAGGTCTCTCGGTCCTCGACTGAAGCTGAATACCGCGCCCTTGCTCTTCTCGCTGCTGAGACCATATGGGTCACATATATTCTTCGCGAACTCCGCGCCACTCACACTGTTCCTGCTCTCTATTGTGACAACAAATCAGCCATCTGTGT